TAAGAAAAGACACACACTTCCCTATGCCTGAAAAATTTCAATACCATGGATGGTGTTATAAAGTGGATTTATGTCATTTACATTCTGCTATGGAATTCAAACCCCACTGAAGAAAAATGCAGTCAGTACCATGGCTGGCAGGTATCATAGGCCGGGGGAGGCTATGCTTCCCCAAACAGCCTGGCACAGCCCTGTCCATGCTCCACCCCCAGACCTCCTCCTGCAGTTCCTCTGTGGCCCAGGCTGGCTGCCGCCTGGGGCGCTGGAACCACGCCACTCGACTCTCCAGGACTGGGGGTGGTCCTCAGGGGGTGAGGTCTCAGGCACTGGAACTGCACTGCCTGCCCGGTGCTCTGGGGCTGCAGGCGCTCGGGCGGCCCAGGGCAGGTCCGGGGCCACAGGAGGGAGTGCTCTGGGCTCCTGCGGGGGATGGGGGCAGAAGTGGAGGGGGAGGAGAGGGCTTCGGGCAGAAGGGGAGGGGCCAGGGCTAGCCTCCCACAATGGCCAGTACCCATGGTCCTGTACCCTAGCTGCCCATGGTCAGTACCACTTATAAAAAACTGCACCTACTTTACAGCACTGAATTTACAAAATAGTATTTCCAGGGCATCATTTTGCCCCACAATTTTCAAATAGGATTTTTTCCAGTTTATAAGTATTAGTTTAAAAACCACATATCCATTTAGAGAACATGTACCAATGTTTTTTAGGGTCCAATGGCCAATTTGTCACTCCCTGTAAAAGAGGTCAGTCAGTGTCATCTTCTCCCCTGAAAGAAGATGGATAATTCGTGTATCTAGCTTACATACTAATACAGTTGCTGTGATATGAAACCCTGAAGCAATTTAAAGAGGCAATGCCACACAGAAAGTACAAAGTCTGGATAGGCCTTACTGTACCTTCTAGATACACCTCTACCTCGATATAACGCGACCCGATATAACACGAATTCAGATATAATGCGGTAAAGCAGTGCTCTGGGGAGGGGCGGGGCTGCACACTCCGGTGGACCAAAGCAAGTTCGATAACGCGGTTTCACCTATAACGCGGTAAGATTTTTTGGCTCCCGAGGACAGCGTTATATTGAGGTAGAGGTGTATAAGAATACTTTTCAATTGCTACAAATGTTGCCAATGCTGACTGCATAGGGAATTAATAAAACACAAGTTAAATTCAGATCTGGCCTAAGTAACTCGGTTTGTCTACATCAAAGTCAATGGTATGGCTCCTGTTTAAACCAGAATTAAATTTGGATCTTAGTTCTTAAAGTAGCTGGTATAAATTTTAAGAAATATCTTCTGTTTATTTGTTACAATACACCAGAACCCTCTTACTGCTAGATCATGTTTTTTCTATAAGCTGAAGTTCTCAGTAACTGGAACTGGAATCAACACAATGTAAGGCACTGAAACAATTTGAGATTTTCATTCTTCTTCAATGTTAACAGAGTTGTCATTATATCCCAAGTTCACTGTAAGTGGGTTGCACTATAATTAATTGTAAAGATCATGATGCAAAAATATCTTTCCATGAACACGCCTGGTTTTAGGAGTCATGTTCATAGATAAGAAGGGAAGTTCTCTTCTGCTCTCTTCACTGCCTACTTGATAACCAGCCTGCCTTTGCTCTTTGTGTAACTTATATTCTGCTCATAGGTGCCAGAAGAGAAACTGTATAATGGGGTTACTAAAAAAATAGAGTTATAATAAGTGAGGAAGGAATGTGGTGTGAGTATATAGATAGAATGTGAAGGGTAAAAATGAGAAAGACACAGTATATACTAAATTTGTGAGCAACCTAAACACACTAAATATTTTTCAGTACAAGTAGATTTGCAAATTATTTAGTTTCAAACAATTCTGATGGCTCTCAAGGCCAACCTTTGAAAAACAAGGCTTTTCAGTATTGTCCCATCTAAAAGCATATATTGCCTTGTTTTACCAACAAATTAAATCACTGTCTGGACTGGGTTGTAGCTGTTTATTTAACACATATGATATGACCCATCCTCTCTCCCTATGCTATCCTCAACTAAATGCCCAGGAAAAGAAAATAGAATAAAACCATTCACAATGGTATTACTGTATGGCCAAGTTACTACACTGTATACATTACTTTGTCACTAAACCCTGGTGGTATACAAAACCCGAAAAACTTTTACATTTATCCCATAATTTGGTAATTATGGATTTAACAAATGGATGGTACTTTATTGTTTCTATTGAGTCACTAATAGTGTCTACTGGAATATTAGGGGTTGGTTGTTGGCCTAGCCATGTACTTCTTTAAGAGCAGAAAAGCAGTGAACGTCTCCACTGAGACAAGTAGTGCAATCTGAAATGTTGGAATGTAAGGGTAGGTCTACACTACCCGGTAGTTCGGCGGCAAGCAAATCGAACTTCTGAGTTCGACTTATCGCGTCTTGTCTGGACGAGATAAGTCGAACCCGGAAGTGCTCGCCGTCGACTGCGGTACTCCAGCTCCGCGAGAGGAGTACCGCAAAGTCGACGGGGGAGCCTGCCTGCCGCATCTGGACCGAGGTAAGTTCGAACTAAGGTACTTCGAACTTCAGCTACGTTATTCACGTAGCTGAAGTTGCGTACCTTAGTTCAAATTGGGGGGTTAGTGTAGACCTGCCCTAAGGCTCAATTGGCCTCCCATTTTACTTTGGGTTTTCAATTTTTGTGGAGGTGCTCCTTTAACAGTTTTGGACTGCCAGACAGGAAATTTCACAGGAGGCCCCAGGACTTTGATGTCCTGGAAGACTCATTCAATGACAGACTGGGGACAGATTCCAACTAGCTGTGGAACTATATCCCAGGTGGAAAGAGGACCAGGGCCCAAGAGAATTTAAGATGCACAGACTTGGGGTGGGTGGAGGTGAAGACTATTGCTGGAGAAGTGTAGGACCAGATAGCACAGGAAGTGGGGATTTAAGTAGCTTGGGGCCTGGCTCTAGCTGCCCTCTATCCACTCTTGTGTTGGAATTTTGTGCCTCACCACATTATGCATTATGAGGTGTGATCTGAGACACCCCATAGTGCACAGCACAGTAGTGCACTAAATTTAAAAACAAAACGCAACAAAGGAGAGGGCACCTCATGTGATAGGCCAATCTCTGAGGCAGCTGGTCCCACCAGAGAACCACAACATGAAGCATGGACAGTGGCACGTCCAAACCTTTTATGTAACAGAAGAATCCTTATCCCTGAGGCACTCTGAGTGGCAGTGGACAAAACATGAACCATCACCACCCAGACCACCCTCAGAGGCTCCTCTTCTCTCCTTTCCTGCATGACCTTGTCTCTCAAGTCCTACTTGTCTTTTAATATGGCATTCAGTTTTTTAAAGAAACAGACAACATAAAATAATGAATAAATATTAAAAAATAAGATATGGGAAAGGTGGCAATTTTTAACACAATTTTAAAACCCAAATGACGCCAGTAAATTAGAACAACTCTGGAAAATTAGATTTTTCCTGTATATGTTGCTTGAGTGATGCGTAAGAGAGATCCTCACATACCGATGAAATCCTGGCCCCATTGGGTATGTGTACACAGGAATTAAAGACTTGCAACTGGCCTGAACCAGCTGACCCGGGCCAGCTACGGCCGTGCCATGGTTCTTCTATTACAGTGTAGACATACCCATTGAGATCAATGCCAAAACTCCCATTGACTTCAATGGGCCCAGAATGTCACCCACTACATTTAGAAACCTTCATCCACTTAAATGGAATAGACAGGATAGGCCCCTGTCCCCTTCTGGCTGGTGTGCTGTCACCTGCATAGCATACAAACTGATTTTCAATGTCATATAAACTGCTTTTACTAACAGAGTTTTTTGAGTGTCTAGCAAGGATCTCTCCTCCAGGCAAATCAAGAATAATGTCATAAAATCTGTATAGTATTCATCTCTACTCTATAGATTCCAGGGTTATTCTGAAAATTACATTGTGAGGCTCCAGTTTGGAAAGCAAGAGTGGGAGTGAGCACCTATTCTAGATCCATGCAGCAGCAGAAAACCGTGTAATTTATTGCCATTAATTAAATCACATAGTTTCTTGGTTAAACATAGTTGGTTCTTTGCTCATTATTGAAGCCCATCATCAGCAGAAAGTGGCTCTAATTTGACCTGGCTAAAGAGCTTTTCATCATTCCTCACCCATGCCACAGCTTTTACTCAAGTACATTCTTTCCATTAGTGGGAATGACCTTGAACCTCCCTTGAATGTATCAATGGTAAAGCTGACATTGCTCACTTAGGACAACATTGTGATGATTAGCTCATTTTGCTTTAGGATGCTGAGCGAGATTAAGCACCAAAAATCAGAAAATAATATTAATATTTAATAGTAGATTTTTGTTGTTTTTGTCATGAGCATGCGTGGAGTGAAACTGAAATGTGTCTGCTCATAGTCCATCCCTCCAAAAATCCCCTGTCAAGCCTTTATCAGTTGAAAATATTTGTTAGACTTCTTTGGGGGGGGGGGGGAATAGCAGACAAAGGTGACCCAGTGAATACCACTTGCTTCTCTTTTCAAGTCTTTCACAAGAGACTACCAGACGAAATAACCATAGCAAGGGGTTTGTGTTTGTTTTTCCACTAGACCTGCAATAAAACATTTTTTATTATTGGTTGACTGCTGACAGCGAGCTTGGCACCATAACGGACACAAAGGAAGACATGGACCCTGCCTGGAGTAGCTTCTTAACAGGATGTCTGTCTATGCCTGTGGGTTAAGTGTGTGACTGAATGCACCCTATATAAAGCAGACACAAGACACACTGAATACAAAAAAGCAAGCCTTCTTGTGTAAGAGACAGAGGAAATCTAATGTAGTGTGAGTATACTAGATGCAGTGTGTCTAACTGTAGGTGCTATATTGTATAGGGCAGATTAATTCAATGTGTGTAAATGAGGGCTGTTGTGCTTGGCTGTAAGTGGAGGTGTCTAGGGGGTGGGGAGGAAGGTCTGAGGAGGGCTAAAATGTGCCAGTGCTTCAGCCCGGTGACTGACTGACAGTCTCCTCAGCCGCTTCACTGCCTATCAGTCCCCACCTTGTGGGGCCTCCCGGCTCCTCCAGTGCTTGGGCAGGCGATAGGGACCTGGCAGTTTCTGACTAGATGCTCAGCCGCTGACTGCCAGGCGCGCACAGCCATGGACAGCTCTTGGGTGGAGAACGGGACTCTTGCCCCCTTCGCTTCGCTCTCCCCGGAGCCCGAGAACAGCAGCAGCGGCAGCCCCAGCCCCTCCAGCCGGGTGCCGCAGGCAGGCACGGGGCCGGGGGGCAGCCCCCAGTTCTGGGACACCCCTCTGAACCAGGGTTTGAGCGTGTTCGTGGGGCTGGCGCTGTGCACCACCATGCTGGGCTTGGGCTGCACCGTGGAGCTGAGCCAACTCGGGGGGCAGCTGCGGCGGCCGGTGGGTGTGCTGCTGGCGCTGCTCTGCCAGTTCGTGCTCATGCCCCTGCTGGCCTTCCTGCTGGCGCTGCTCTTCGCCCTGGACGAGGTGGCAGCGGTGGCCGTGCTACTGTGCGGCTGCTGCCCTGGGGGGAACCTCTCCAACATTATGTCCCTGCTGGTCAACGGAGACATGAACCTCAGGTACCCAACCCGCCGGGGCCGCTGCCTCCGCGGGGCGCCGGGCTCATCTCCCTCCCCGGCGGGGCAGGCGTCGCTCCTGGTCGGAGTAAAGGACCCAGAGAAGGTGGCCTGAACCCCACTGGGAGAGGGAGGCAGCCGGGGGACTCGATGTGCCGTGGGCGCTGCGGGAGGTGGGGGATGTGCCGGGGGTCAGTAGCCGTGTGGGGTGTGTGGATGTGCCGGGGGGTGAGGGGGTG